CAGCCCGCCGCAGGCTTCTCTCCAAGAACCGCTTACAAAGGAGCGGTTTTCCTCCTGCTCTGTTGCAGTTGCCAAGAAGCGCCCCTCGGACTTCGTTAGCTTTTTCAGGGATGACAAAATGCGCCCTGTCTTGCAGCCGGACAAAACGCTGGTGGGCACAGGTGTGTCACAGGCCTCACGGGTGTAACAGGGGGGGAGGGAAAGCGGGAGCTTTGCACATTCACGTCTTGTCAACCTGTAGTCTCCTTACATTTAGGTACACTGAGAGTCAAGTCCGGGATCTGAACCCAACGAAGGGACACGAGACCCTGCTCCTCACACCCCAGGCGAGCAGCTTGAACCCTGAGCCCATGGGCGTGCTGGGTCCTTGAGGATGAAGCAGACATTCCTCTTCTGTTTTAGTGAAAATCCTTAGCCTAAACACAAAATGCTTTTCTTAACAGAACCAACACATTTCTTAATCAAAATATTTTCATACCAACACTCCACCTCCCCAACCAAGCTTCACTGAAAAACCTCTCCAGGCAGCACAGAAAGAAAGCTTAATAAAGGTTTTTTAATTAATTCCTAGCAATAGCTAGGGATGGAAACCTGCCAGCGAAGTAAATTGTTAATTTTCAAGCTTTACCTTATCAGGATCAGTTTTCAAAATAATAGCCATCAGGAAAAGATCCTAAATTTCTTTCATTCACAATTTGTAATTCCATAGTGAGAAACTGATTCGCATCCTTCACAGCTACACACATTCTTCATTTCTGGAGGAGCTGCAATGCAGTACAGATACTTCTCAGCTCAGTGTCCTCAGAAAGTAAGACTGAGACAATCGTGTTACCGGTGTGGCTACTGTCCATCCAGCCTTAGTAATTTTTTATTTTATTGATGATTTGAGTGAAAACTGACTGCAGAGTAGCAATGTCAGGAGCATTTTGTTCATATATAGTTCCTTGAAAATAGGCTACTAGAGAAGAGAAGCCATTATTAGCAATCTCACAACAGGCAACGCTGCACCACCGAAAGGGAGAAGACATTGTAAATGCTTTCATTACAGGAAAATCTTCCTCGGTGAGCCACGTTTTATTACATATCAGAGAACCTATACCTCCATCAAGGTTTCTCTCTCTTATCTTACAGATTAGAGTCATTTGTAGCTTTTCCTGGTATTAAGGTATTGATGTTTCCTTTTTCTTGTATGGCATATTCACCATAAAGAGTAATTTATAGAAAACTGGTTTATTTTGCTCCCAAGCTGACAAAACTGTTTCTCTTACAGGGCGCCAGGGAGTAGGAGGGCTGTTTTACCACTTTCTATGCTGAGGCACTGCCATGTTGTTTGAGTTGGTGTGTGAACTTTTGCCACTGCTATCACTAGCTACAGGATCACTAAACAATGCAAAAATGCTCTGCGCTGAGCTAGTACATCATGCAGTATGCACCACTAACATACACACAATCTACCATCTTTAGGCTCTCCGCATGAGACAAGCAGCCTGAACTTATCTGCAGATGGCTACAAAAAATCCATCTTAAGTTCCAAGCACAACACATGGACACAAACACGTGCCTAAGCCCTTGTATGCCCAAGTGTGTGGTACATCTCTAAGCTAAAGCCCTGCATCGTGTGTTCACTTCAGATGCACGCAGGTCTGTGAGCCTGGCAGCCCGACAGCTGCATGGGGACTACTTTCCTCTGGCTTTCTACTATAGTTTGATCACGTCACTAAATGCTGAGACTAAGTCAGCAGAAGGTGTCCGATGCTCTCTG